AGGGTGCTGAGGCCCTGGCACAGGCTGCCCAGAGAAGCTGTGGCTTGCCCATCCCTGTTCAAGGCCAGGTTGGATGGAGTTTTACTCTCCTTCCTTGCATGACTTTTTCACCCAGTTCCCAGAGCAGGCTTTGGGTCTCCTGCCACCTGGCAGGACTCCTGTGCCTGCACAGACAGGCTGCTCCTCGTTCCACCTTCCTACTCACTCCCTCTGGCAATGGGTTGGATCCCAGAAGGCTCCAGCCAAGGACTCAGGATAGGACCAGCTCCTTCCCACCACAGCCTCGTACTGTCCAGGTACCATCTAATGACTGCAAAAGCAAATAACCCACTTCTCTCACATCTTGTTTCCTTCTTTTGCAATCTTGAGATTTGCACTTTTATCATGTTTTTCAGAAAGAATCCAAGTCTCAGCCAATAAACATCTGTTTATTTCAGATCTGAAACATACAAAATTATTTTTTGTGATTTTTTCTAGAAGCTGTCTTTGTGAAGTGCTGTTATGCCCACAAGGTGTCTAACATATTATTACAGAAACTCCTAGCATTTTCCCACTTGTCTGGTAACACACAGGATGGTTTCTTTGCTTTATTGCATGAACTGCTTCCCTTTCACTAAACATCTTCCAGCAGCACCATGTTCTGCAGCAAGTTTAAATTCACTCCCAGAGCTGCAGTGACAGTTGACCAGGCCAGCCAAGGACTTCACCAGCCCCATCTCCATGGTGTGCATTTCATAATTTCATGTTTACAGAGACATAAATAGACCAATCCCACAGTCACATGTGTAAGGATCTATTACATTCTTTATTGCAGTCAGACTTGCAGGAGCTCAGTTAACTTCAGCTACCCACAGAGAATAACTTTTTGGGTTTTCCTCGTTTCTCACAAAATAATAATGGCAAACAACACGTGTAAACTTCATACTGCTTCTCTCTTGCATTGTGTCTGACAATGGCTCTGAAAACACAAGCAGAATTTCTTCTTTGATAGAGGTCTTTCTTTCTCAGGATTCCAAAGTGTTGGGAAAAAGCTCCCCCTAAAACAGCTTGGGACAAAAACAAACAGGTTTTTTTTTTATTGTTGTTGTTTTTGTTTTTTTTTTAATTGGGAAGCAATTTAAATTACAGATTAGGAAACAAAAGGCTATTACAGAAGTGGTAATAGCAGATAGGAGGACTAGAGGGGAACTGAAAAAGTAAAAAATACTATAAATCAAAAATAAGTTGTCTTTACAAACAAATCTTCAGGTACAAGTGTCAAATCATCATAACCTTCCTTTGGGGATGTTCATCAGAGCTCCCCAGAGACAGCTGTCACCAACAGGGCAGTGGTCTGGATAGGACACACTTCCAAAAAACATGCTTGCATAAACCTCTTACTTTGAAGGATCACTCATCCTTCTTTACACTTTCTAATGTCAGCAACAAAATATAAGCTCTAAAAAAGGGAAAACTACATCACTAGCTCTGCCTGACCACTGTTTCTCCAAGCAGTACCCAGAGCTCCAGCTGCTGTTCCTACCATAGCTGCACATCTCAATTTCTCACACACAATCTCCTGCAATTATTTATTTGCCAATAAAGCAAAGGTTTTTAATTTTCTCTCCTGCAGACTCCTGGTTTTTTTTATCCTTCAAAACCTACTGTGAGTGCAGACTTGTAGTAAATATCCTCTGCAACTTCATGCTAATGCATCTCAGTAACAATATTTTGCACAGGTTTATATTAAAACTCTAGTATATATAAATATATATGAAATTTTATAGATATATCTATATATCTATACTATATACATATAGATATATATAATATCTCTATATAATATAGATACATTTATATTTATACTACATAGAAAGCAAGGAATAGAAGGGTTAAGTGGCATGTAGAGGAGCTTTCCTTTTACAGTTTCCATTGAAACTAAACCAAAGTCCTGCTCTAAGAGAGCAGAGGACACAGCATTTGGGTACTGGGGCTGGAACCCAGAGCCTGGGCTGAACTCAAAATCTGTCCCTGAGTGCCAGTGGGCCATGAGAGGGGGTGAAGTATGGATTAAGTTTTGCTGCTTGTGCTTTATCTGGTTACAAGTGCATTAAACAAGTGACCTCAGCTTTATTTTTGGGGAACACTGGCCCAAGAAGCAGCAGTTTCCAGTGACTCAGCAATCTAGAAGGATTGCTACTGCAATTTAGGATACTGGGTAAATTTTGAAATAACCTGGCAAACGCTGGCATTAGCAGAGTGTGCAGAATGACTGAAATACAGCTCCTATCACTCCCTAAGCTCTCTCTCCCTTTTGCTTTCACAAGCACCAGCGTTCCCAAACACCCGCCCTGCGGTCAGCCCACACACGAGCTGTGGCAGGGCAGCATTAGGAGCCCTGGCCGTAATTACTCCCCTTTTACCTCACTGGCAAAAGGACATTTTTCAATCCAACTAATTCTTCTCTTCCATTACACAGGAGAAACTTGGTCAAGTATTTCCTAGAGACACTCACAACAACCTGCAGGGCAGTGCCTGCCCCAGGCCCCCAACACCGACCCCTCCTCTGGCCTGCTCAATGCCCACTAGCAAAGCTTTTAGCTTTCACCAAAATTTGAACAAACTCGAACTTCAGTTCTACCCTTCCTCTCAAGAGCCATATTCACACTGATGACCAAATCCCTTTGCTCCAAAAGCTGAGCTACTCCAGACCTCTCAGCTCAGCTTTGCCAGTGGTTGCTGCAGCACTGGTCCCAGCCCAGCCACTTGTCACAGCTCAGCCCTTGTCCCCAAAGCTGCTGCACCTCCCCTGGGTCAGGTACTCAAATATCACTAAATGGCCAAGATCAGGTCTCCAACAGCTCATCCCTGCCCCAAGCTACTGCCAAGGGTTTGCTCCAGCAAGTTCTGCTCCTGGGAATTCATCGAATCACTCAGATAGCAAAGTACCACTTTGCAGGGGGAACACCTAACCAGACAATATAAACTCTTATTGCCTGTGCCAAAACTAGGCATTTGGACCCAACAGTGAAAGTATGCCTTTACATTCTCCTTTTATGAAAATATTTATTTAGATTTAGGAAGGAGAATCAGAGATTTTAAGTAGATCCAAGCTTTGTAGTGTACACATTGCAAGTTTTTCTGGTTTTTTACCTTGTATTCTACTGAATCTTGTCACGGTTGGATACAACACAGGGAATGGTACACAGAGTGGCTGTTGTGCTGTGAATGCCAAGGACAGGACCCAATGTGCCACTAATTTACACAAGGTTTGTGAAGTATCTCTGGTAGCTTCTGTGTGAGGGAGGCTTCTGTCATCCTGTTACAGACATGGGCAAACAGGAGGCACCACTTCCTTCGAGGCTGCTGTGAGAACTCTTCTTGTTCAGGCAGAGAGCAAGCATGACCCAATCCCTCAGCCATCACCGTCACCAGAGGTTAAACAAGGACAAGAGCCCTTCCACTCACAAGGATGATGAGGCAGCATTAGCAGATTGAAAGCTTTGAGGCCCTGAAATGAAAGGCATTGAAGGCTCCAAAACTTTACTCTAAGATTTCTTACTATGATGGATCATGTGCAGTAAGAAACAGGGTCATCAGAAAAACAAGGGGCATCTTTTTTTTAATTATTATTTTACCATACTTGCTCATCAAATTTTTAATTGTAATTCAAAAGCAGACAAAAATAATTTAAAAAATGTAAACTAAGGAGAATGTATGCTTATGGTTAGAAAATAGTTCTCTAACAGTAGCTTAACACACTCTCCTGTGGGCTACACTCAGTTTGATAAATATGAACTCAGTGACAATCCCCCCCCCACAGTCTCACCAACAGGGGCAATCCTAGAGAGCAGCTGATCCTAAGGAAGCATCAGTCACCTCTAAGATCATATCAATCCATCTTATTTTTGAACTGCCACAAAGGAAATGCAATTTTTTCCATGTTCAAAGAGTTTTCCAGATAGAGGATTTTCCCCATACACCCATGAACAGAAGTTGAGAAAAAATGAGACAGAACTATTACTATATTCACCCAAGAAAACCCAAACTTACTTCTAGACCATGTACTGAGCACCTTTTTCCTGATTTTGATAATTTGACAAAAACTACCTGTTTAAAACTCCTTCAAATTTCAAACAAAATTTTATTTTCTATCTTGTATTTCCAGCATAGGGTGGGACACATAACAAATGCATTGACAACATGTTAAAGAACAATTTCATCTTTATCTTTTCTTCTGCAGTTTATTATATAAATTACGCTTTTCAACACTTAGAGCACTCACATTTCAGAACAGAAACACCAGTGCAAACAGTGGTTTGTCCAAGTGCAAGGAAGTTACTTGTCCCCACTGACAGCAGTGGGTGAGGCTCAAATATAACTCCTCAGTCCACAACAATAGTGTGACCTAAATGTGAGCACGTTGTAGTCAACAGAAATGCTGGACTTTGGTTGGTAGCAACCAAATACTTTGACAGGACAAACAAGAGAAGAACAAGTTGACCTCCAGCAGACCTGTGATTTCACTGGGATAGGAGACCACCTCCATCATTTTTCTGAACTGACATTACAAATAAGTGAATGCCAAACGTTCTATTTGATGCTCAAATCCAATTATCAAAACACAATAAAGCTCCCATGCAGGGAGGTATTGTACTTCAGTGAATGCCACAGGTTACCTTTGGCACATCATAGTCAGGACCTGAACACAAAAATAACCTGATCTGGCAGAGGATAAATGAGAAAGCTTGGAGAGCTTTCCCATCTCCAATGCCAAGAATTGTTGCTGAAAAATGTATTAAAACAAGACTGAATTACAGCAATCTCCTCTCCATTATACAGTACATACTAGACCCAAATTTTAATTACATCCAAGCAAAAGAAATCTTATTCAACCCAGAGATGCTAGCAACTGGGGCCATTGCCATGATATACAGGCCACTGTCAGAAGTAGTTATTAGGATCTTAGAAATCTGCATTCATTTATCTTAAGAAATTGTTGCAATGTAAAAACAAAATGAGACAATTAATAAATAAGATCTTTATTAATGAGTTTTCTTTTTCACATTCTTTAAAGTGATGTTCAATTGAAATCTGCATAGTCAAGAGTGCAAAAAAAAGAGATTCATATAAGTCAGACCCAAATGTGAACACTATTTTTTTTGAAGCAAGACTGGTCACAGTCATAGGAATAAAATAGAAATAAATGGCCAGGGAGATACGGAGGGGGTGGGGATGAGAACCATCAGGAAAATTCTCATCAGTAGACTTGTCTATTAATGAAGTCTTCACACAAAGACACACAACACTCATTCACATTCATGCGCACAACAGAATGTAAACCACAGAAGAAAGGTCCTTCCTCTGCTGAATGAAATGAAACAGAGCAAGATTATTTATGTATTTCACTGAGCATTGATCACCTATTCCAACAACGTACCCAGGTGGATAACTCAAGGTCCAGCCTTCTTCATGCCCTTATTACAATCACATTTCAGCCACCATCACACAGCAGGAACCAGGAAATCAAGAGTGTTTCCATAACACTGGGAATTATTCTTAACACACTCTTTTAAGCACCATCACCTCCCTTCCTTTTTAATTTTTAGTAGGACTACCCTTTTCTTTAGTGCTGTTGTTCATGGTTAGTTGGAAGAGCAGGTGAAGAGGATCCCTCCAAGCCCATGCAATGGCTCAGCCTGTGGAAGTGCAGCGGAACATCTCCACCTCCAGCTTCATTTCCATAAGCACAGGCAACACAGTCCCAGATCTCTCACATCAACACCACAATGTGACTCTGCAAGTAGTACTTTTAATATTTACACCATCTAGTGATTTAGCTGTGGTTCTCTGCATCATAACCATCATCAGAAAAAGCTAGAGGTAAAAAAACAAGAGGCATATCCCCTACATAATGGCTGTAGGTAGTAAAGACTGACCTCACAGTGGTGAGAAGCCACATCTTGCCTCCAGCTTGGATTTATGCAGCAGAGACACCACTCTACAGCTGAGCACAAGTTTGAATGCATTATTCTCTATGTTGGTCATTTGGAAAAGCCATCCAATGCCCTCACACTGAACTGCACCACACACAAACTGGGCTTAATGTTTTGCATGTGATTCTGCAGTAATAAACTTCATTTACAATTTATATTAGTTAGGTTTTGAATTATTCAGATGCACAATCTAGGACTGTGGGTAACTGATCATCAATATTCAATCATACCAGCTCAGGTTCAGGCAAGGAATAAGTCTCATTTATTTGCTTTGTGCCTACAGCCTTTAATCTGAGATTCAAGCCCAGAGGTCAAGAGAAAGTTTTTTGTGAAGTCAAACCAGTCAGAAATACATTTGCTGCCACGGGCATTGGAAACATAAGGCCTGAAGTATTTTGGAGATGTACAACAGGAAGTAAAAGAGATTCAGTACAACTTGCCGTGGTTTGTATTTGTCCAAGGACAAAACAAACTACACAGTGAAACTCAAACCCATTATAGCAAAATGGTGACTCCACAGCTGAAACTCCACCTTCATTTGGCAAATAAGAAGTAAAAGATGTCCAGCACAGGAAAGCACCAACCACAGCTCCCAGCCAGCATCAATAAAACATGCTGCAACACCCTTTCTTCAAAGATAACCTGCTTTCTCCTTGGGGAACTAACATTCAAATGCAGGGAAAAGCAGTCAGAAACTGGAAAGAGGGACTGAATTTTACCCCAGAAATAAGTGCCCTGGGCAGCCAGCAGCTGCCACACTGGGCAGATTTCAGGGCAAAACCACATAAAAGAATCCATCTTGTCCCATTTCAAATCACCAAAAATAAAACTGGCTAATGGGTGTGAGCTGGTAAATTTTCAAAAGCAGCAGTGGCAACCCATTTTTTTCCTGGAAATTTCATGGGCAAGTCTTCTGGCAGACCCAAAAATGAATGAAATTTGAAACACGATATTTAGTGCAGTAGTAGTCTTAATTTTTTTAAAAAGAAACTGTATTTCTTGTGTCACATCAGGGGTTTAATTCAAGAGATCAGTAGATTAAGACCACTTTTGTCATTAGTTCAAGATTTACTTTGGCACAGCTAATTTACACTATTTGTATTTGTGGTAATTATAAGGGCATCACAGTAGATATTTCCTTTACTATGGAAAATCCTAAAATAAATACAATTTAGTAGTCTGAATAAACCCACCTTACTCTAAACTAGAATGAAACAACTTTGTGGCCTGCTTGTGTTTCAGGAAAATATCCCACATATTCAGATCAGCCTCACTAGTTAAGACACATTAAAAGGAAACATTTCCCATTAAAGATGCCAAAAACTGGATTTAAATTTATTGCATGACGTTGCATAAGAAAGTGTATTATTGAAAAATGTAAGGCATCATGCAATTATCCATCAGCTAATTATTTATTATTCCTTGAAAGATGGTTATATACTCTAATATTATAAAACCAGTTTCAAAAAAGTACATAAAAAATTTAACATAAGCATTAAATATTTTTCACATGTTCATAGTTTTCAGCTGTTAAAAAGTGCATTCAAACATACTGTACTGGAAAGTTGCTCTGACCAAAAATGGTGCTGGAGACTCATTAAATTAAAAGCTGCAAAAGGATGTTGCATGGGATTAGAAAGCTCACAGGTTGTGGTATTTAAACTTACAAACTTGCTTGAAATAATTTTGCAATCCTCACACTTACAATTTAGCATCAATGATATAATTAGCTAAAAATGTGTATTTTTAAAATTGAACAGTCAAATGAATTCAAGTTACGTACACTGAGTGATCAAATAAGGAGCAGACAACATTGAGACCTGGGCCAGGATGTGCTGCTGTGATTTTGGCAGGGATCAGTTGATGTACTGGGCCATCCAGCGGAACCCCTCCCCGTAGCCTTGTCTCTTTAGCACACTGCACATGAACACCTCCAGGGGCCTGGCGTTCAGGTCCTTCAGTGGTGTGTTACCCTGCAGAGAAACACAAACATTCCCTTACAGTTCCCTTACAAGCAACACCTATTCCACATGGACATCTGCTTCTATGGAATGCCCTTATTTAACTTGCGTTTGACACTGGAATTTTGGAAAATAAATTAATCTAAAATCATAGAATGGGTTGGGTTGGAAGGGACCTTAAAGTTAATCTCATTTCAAATCCCTGCTATGGACAGGAACAGCTTCCACTAGACCAGATTGCTCCAAGCCCTGTCCTAAGTGGCATGAAAAGACTTCGTGGAATGAGGCATCCCCAGGTTCCCTGGGCCTGACACCTCCACAGAGAGACCAAAACACATGACCTTAATAACAGTAACTTGCATATAAGAAATATACTATGCATGTTCTCACATGCATCCATACTGGAGAGGGAGAAGTACATGAAACCAGAATGGAATAGCAAACATGTGAAGAGCATTTTAGAGCTTGTTTTTGGTGTTCAGTCACAGCTCCCTGCTCTGTTTGCAACAGTTTACCAACCAGATAAAAAAAATCATTTGCTATAAATTTAAGGACTGACCAAAGCAAGAGTGCTTGCTTGCCAAGATCAGCACAGTGCAATAAAGTTGCTGTTCAACAGCAGATTCACAGTGGTGCTCATGATTCATCAACTACATGCAGTGTAAAGACCAGAAAAACAAGAGGGTAAAATACAGCAAACTAGAAAGTAAAGGTTTGTTCCTGCCTGACCTAAACTCTGACTGGCACTGAACTTTAAGGAAGGCACCTAAGAGTGAATGAGCAAAGGGGAGTTGCAAGGCAGGTGCCCGCAGCAGAGCTGGTCAGCTAATGGGAGCTGTGATTGGAAGCCACAGTGGAATGACTCTATCGGCTTCTTTCCAAGAGCCAAGGACACTGTGCATCATTTCTAATGCTCACAGGCAGAGTACTGAATTAACTTTATATTAAGAGGAGCTGAAGTATCACAAAGATCCTTACTAAAAATCTGCCTTGCTGCTACAGATGCCAGTAGGAACTTTTCCTTCCCACAACCTACAAACTTAAACTTCTATGATGGTGTAAATCTGTCTCTAAGCTTCAGGCAAATATGTTAGGTGGAAAACTCTTAAAACTTGCACTTGAAACGAGAAAAGTCACTTACTGAAAGATTCTATTCAGTTTTCTCTTATAATTCACTCTAAATATAGCCTCTGAAAACTGCTTAAAAATAATGCGTAAGACAGTTGAAGTACTAAAAATTATTCTAGATACAAATACATGAGAAAATGTGGCATTACATACAACATAAAAAATTGTAGCAGACATGCATCTAACACACACACACACAAAGAGACTCTGGGATCCATTCTATATACTATTATCATGTATTAACTACTTTATAAATTAGAAAAACATTTATTTTGTATAGCTGGAGCAAAACAGAGCCAACACACAAATAAGACAAACTAATTCCCTAAACAAAAAACCTCACCAAAAAAACCCAACCAAAAACCAAAACCAACCAAACAACAACAAATTTAAAGGAGCAATACCTTTCCTGTTGTCTGGCCATACAGACCAAATGTCTCTCGTAACCTCTCTTCACTGATGGCTTCAGGTCTGTCAATCTTGTTACCAAGAATTAGGATAGGCACATTAGCAATAGTTTCATCTGTCATTAGTGACTACAAAGGAATGGAGAAAGGAGGAATGATTAATTTAGAGTACAGGACAAATCACTACTACTCATTTGCAGGTGACAGCAGAGGTCTGTTGGGTATTTGAGCTTAGTTCTTAGAAGTTTAAACTTTTAAAAGCTTATTTAAACTTACATCAAGTTCTTCTTTTGATTCAAGTAATCTTTCGTGATCTGCACAGTCCACCAAGAACACAACACCATTAATTGCAGGCAGGTAGTTTTTCCACACTCTGCGAGCTACAGGGAAAATAAGAAACAAAAGGAAATTATCCCCAAATACAGAGCAATGCAAATGGGTAATTAAGAAGCAACCTGTGTGTGTGGGTTTATTAATTTGATTTTTTTCTTAATTCTTAGCTTATGTTGCCAATTTTTGGGATGCAATTTCGTATTTTACAAAGTTTGAAATCACAGAGCAAAATTATCATTCTCTCTAATGTTACCGCTGTTCTATCCCACATGAATGCTGATGTATGTAAATGGTTTTGTTTCCCCAAGAATTACGTCAAAGGTAAGTTTGAAGGTAAATGTCAGGAATTCAAAGTACAGAACTTTAGACTAATAACAATACACAGTATTAGTCAAAAGTTTCTCTTCTACTGTGCTCTTGCCAAATCATTTTTGTGATTTGTCATAAATGGCGGAGATGGGCAAAAGAGCAGCCAATGTCTTTTATGCTGTCAGAGAAGACTGTGGGAAGTCAGTCTCTGCAGCATGGCCATGTTTCTGACTGGAAGCAAACTCCAGCCCACTTCAGTGAGCTTAAGTGAGTCAGCACACACTCTTACCTTGAGCATGTCCACCCAGATCGAAGGTAGTGAAAGTCATGCCAGCAATTGTCAGCTCTTCTGAAGCTGGAAATACACAGAATTATGTTCTAGGTGAAGATTATACTTGGAAAAGTCTAGCCTTCTAGCACATAGATTTTAATTTATTTTGTTCTTCCCAGTATTTTGTTATTCAAGAAGAAAATCAGAGTAATATATTCTCTCAAAATCAACAGCACATTCATGTATCACCAAAATGTTATTAACCATTAAAGCATGTGTGAAATATCTACAATGCTAAGAACAGCAGAGTATTCCTACATTATTTATCCCTACATATTACACAAACAACAGTTGGCTCTGGCATCTTGTTTGCATAAAAGATTTTGCATTTGGCATTTTGTTTACAATACTATTTAAGGCTTCTCTTCTTCACATCCTTCCCAATTTCTCATCTCATTACTGGACTTTCCCAATCCACATTATCAACATGTGTTTAAGTTTTTCTTCTGCAAGGTTACCAGGATAACTATTATGCAGCAACCTCTGAGACACAAACACCGATTTTCCAATTATACAGAGAAGCCATTCCCAAAAATTTCAAGCCCCTATTTCTTGCAGCTTCTATAGCACAAACTCTCTGCTTCACTGTTCTGATTGTTACTCACCTCTTAATTTTAACTATAACACACTGAACTATCCTACACACATAGGATTTTTTTTAAGATTACTTGAACTATCCATGGATTGCAATCCCAAAAATCCCTTTGTGCCTTCCCAGTTACACTGGTGGTCTTATGATGTATAATCAGATCCTGCTTTTCTTGCAATCCCTCAAATACTTTCTAGCTAAGGGACAACACTATTAACTTACTGGGGTGTAACGTGGGGACATGCTGTCCCAGTCTGTCATCTTTGAGCATGTGCAGCAGTGTAGTTTTTCCAGCATTGTCCAGTCCAAGAAACACTAGTTTGCCTGATTTCTTGTACAGTCCTAGAACAAAAAAAGGACCTAGTGACTAATCAGTTCAACCAGCAGGAATTCATTTCCAGCACTAGAGATAATTCTGCTCCTAGGAACAAAGTGTTACAGTCACGGTACAAAATACAAACCAGGCAAACTCCACCAGACTTTATCAGTGCCCTTTATCCATGTGATACAAACGACATTCCCACTTACCACAGACATGCTGCACCAAGTAACATGCAGCTGACAGGATGCCTGGCAGGAACAGGAGAGGCACACAATTGGTGTGAATATGTCAATAGTGGAAATGCATTGCATTATCTTAGGATAAGCATGGCAGAACAGGACTAAATGCTACCAGTGTAGTTTATTCTGCCCCAGCAAAATGACAGCTCTGCTCACGGGTGGTGGAGAGGTGGGCACAGACACAGCACTAATGGCAGGCTCTGGACCATGGACCATCCTGAACCTGAACTCTGTTCAGCTGCCTCCAATTATAGCAAAACACTCATCTGAGACAAAAAGAAAGTTCAGACCTCAAACAGAATAATATGGAGAAATTGGATTCAACATCAATAATCACAATTTGTGTATGAATTCTTTAATATTGATTAACATATTATATGGACAAAAAGTAACTTTCATCCACACCCCCAAGAAAACTGTTGTCTACATCCTGAATGGCATCGTCAGGGCACTTCTGATACACTTTGTCCCATGTGACAATGCTTTCCTAACAGGAATAAGAAAATTTATTTTCATTGGTTGTCATGTTTATAAAAATGCCTTCTGCTTTTCTTCTTCCCCTCCACTTGTAACCCCAGAAATGCAACAGTTGCTGTGAAGGGAAGGAAAGATGTTTAAAACACCAACACCATATTCTCTTAAATTGGAGATTATCAAAGGGCAATTCTCTTACAACTTGTCAACACTGTATCCTCTGCCAGAATTACTCTGCATTGCTTCAAACTCATTGATATTCTAAGTAAACCATTAATATAAATTAAATTTAAAACCAAAAAATACCAATCCTGCTCTGTACTGAAAAAAACCTATCTTCTGTAATGTGCTATCCTCATGTGTGTCGGGATGTTCACAGCCCCACCGATGCCGTGGCATTTCCAGGGACAGAGGTAGCTCTGCCCGGCAGACCTTTACACCACTGCTGTTTGTTCACCTCTCCCTCTGCCTTTAAACTAATCTCAGGGATCACATTCCAGCTGGACATGTTTTGTAACTTGCAGGAATGAATATTCTCTCCTATCCCTCATCCTGTTTCATTAATGGTCTTTATTACTCCAGGTCCTGTAGAGTGTCTTCACAGCTCCTTCAAAGACAACTCTTAATTCCCAAACTCACCTTCTCACATGCCCATATATATATTAACAATTAAACTACAGAGTAGAGGAGAAAGTGTTAATGTTTACAGAGAAAGAAGTGGACAAACATTTTCCTATAGTAACTTACATCACAGGAGAAACCCCAGTTCACACTCACCTTATGAGTGAAACAAAACTCTACTAACCTATAGGAAAACAATAATATTTTTGCCACTCTCAGCCTGCACATCCAGGAGTCTTTGCTTCGCAGTCAGATGTTGCTGGTTTCACCAAAACATTTAAAGCTTCCCAAGTGTCTTTCAGAGAAGCACAAGACTAACAAGCAGCCATACTTCGGCTACTGGCTACACCAAGACCTGAATTTTTATATGTACATATAAATCAAAAAATGTTTTTGTGCATTCCAAAAGTATACTTGTGCAGCTCTTCCTAAAGTGATCACATTAGCCTTCTGACAGGACAGCAGAGAGAACTGTGAGGAGTTTCCCAAATGTTATGATCTGCCTTCTTCAACTCTAAATATAACTGAGAATGCAAAGAGCAAGTGTTTATTTTAGAGAAAGAGGGACATAAAAGAGGAAGGTACTTGAAGCTCCTCTGTCTTTCAGCAGAATTAGCCTTTGCTTGCACAGGAATGGAAGAGCAGCCCAGTGTGCAGTAATCACTGTGCAGCTAAGGAAGAGGAGATAAGAAAGATTAGTCAACTTAGTTAAAATTTCACTGGCTAACATTTTGATAGCAGACCAAGGGTCTGACATTCAGTGCAAAACTTTAAACTTTCAACTGATAAAAGGTAGGTGGCACAGCTTGCTATGACTTCTTAGCCTCAAATGCTTTGTGACCACTTCAATAAAATCCTTTGAACTTGGAAATTATGCCTTTTACCTATGTGATCCTTTTTTTAGTAACCTAACAATAATTTTCCTCATGGTTTTGAGGGGTTTTTTTACCTTGAACTGATATGCATTGCAGACTTTTTGGTCAGGGAATAATTTTCTGAGGCTCTTGAGTTGATGCCAGTAAAGTTTCAAACTAATTTCTATAACCAAATATTACTATCTACCCAGCAGTCTTATTTGATGATAACAGAGGTGAACAGATATTTTACACAAGAATATCAGAAAGGAAAAGCCCCAAATAATAATGACTTACCTAAAAACTGCAATACACTACTGAAACCACTGTAAATCCAATCAAATAGGAACATATCTGAATCTTATAGTCTGAAATAAAGAGAAAACATAATGCATTTAAGTTCTGTCAGAAGAGTACATTGTAAAATATTTATAGGTAACGAAAGTAATTTAAAATCCTGTGTTAAAAATAAAAAAAAAATCTTAGTTTTGGTAAACTGTATCACAGATCAGTTAAGTGACAACCGCAAAGATTTTTCCCTCCCTTGGGAAAACACTACATGGACTAAAGTCTTTGCAGTAAAATAATTTTATCCAAAGTACAATTTGTTGAAGGTATGTGATGATCCACTGAAGATTCTAAATAGGATTTTCACTTTTCAACTGGGAAAAGGTGGCACTTCAGAGAGGGCACTAGAGGCCTATCACTGCAGATTTAGTGCTCCAACCACCCCTGAAAGCTGCTGGGGGGAAAAAATACCAAAGGCAGTAAAAGGTGACGAAGTTTTGCGGAGCTGAATCTAGAGAAGTTTGATACCAAATAAATCCTTGTCCACACAGAACCTGTCTGTTTGCCTTTTTATGGAAAACAACAACTTAGCATAAAGCATTGGAATAACCTTTCAAAGTCAGTGACCTCCTATATTGCCCTGCAGAGGCTGCTGCAATTCAAAACTTAAATGCAAACGTTTTATTTAAAAAAACCACCAGATCCCTGTATTTTCCCACTGAGTTCCTTCAGCTTAGATTCAAGAACAGAAGAATGAGCTGAGAGCCAGTACTAGGTTCATTGTGTAGCCATGACTGATTAATTTCCTAGCTTTCATCTTAATTTCTTCATTATCTAAAGAGAAGATAATCACAGAACCATTGAGGTCGAAAAAGACCTCTAAGATCATTGAGTCTAACTGTTAGCACAGCATCACTGTGGTCAACACTTAAACCAAGTCCCCAAGGGCCACATCCACAGGACTTCTGAGTGCTTCCAGAGATGGTGAATCCACCACCACTCTGGGAAGCCCAGAGTTTGGCCACCCTTTCAGTGAAGAAATTTTTCTGAATATCCAGTCTGAATCTTTGCTGGCAGAACTTGAAGCTGTTTCCTCTTGTCTTGTCACTTGAGAGAAAACACCAGTCCCAACCTGGCTACAACCTGTCAGGGAGTTGTAGAGAGTGATGAGAGTGATTTCCCCCTGAGCCTCCTTTCTCCAGGCTGAGCTCCCTCAGCTGCTCCTCATCAAACTTGTGCTCTAAATCAGACTGAAAGCACTAGTTTGACACAGTGAAGTGTGAGTATTTTAATTGTATTGGAGACTAAAAGGCAACATCCTTAGAAGCCTTTAGCCAGCTAATTGCTACTGGAATGCATGACCCCTGTGGACACTGGAGTCTGACTGCCCTGGAAAAACTGGACTGCACTGCTAAATACAGCTGGCAGAGGCATCCACACTGCTACAGGTTCTCACTACACTTCTTTAGAAGCGGCAGGGCTGCCTTGGGGTGTCACAAGAGGACTTCAGGGCAGCTCTGAGCCTGGAGCACAGCACACAGGAGTCAAAACACAGGTCTGAACCAGCCCAAAATCCAGGTATCCGTCACAGCAACTACACTCGTGACGAAGAGTTTCTTTGTTATGCAACAACAGGTACATCATACAAAGATAATGTGGAAAGAGGAGTGAATATTTAAATGACCTTTGCTTGCACTGGAACAAAATCTGGTCAGATGAACAAGCACCAGGTGTCTTGGTTTCGCCACAACTAACCCTTAAACCTTTAACCACATCTACGTTATTCTGAACAACACAGCAACTGCAACAGGCACAATTTTTAAGAATACAAATCAAATATGCTTGTAAATGCATAAACACCAGTTACACAATGTCATGACTGAAACTGTCCCTTGCATGGCTAAAAATCAAAGGTCAAGAATAAGCAAACATGGCAGAACACACACGTCAGCAGATTTATTTATTGCTTGAGCAAAATACCAATCGAGAAAATCCTCTGTGGGGCTTAGGGAAACGATCGACTCAAATAACCTGCAAATCAGGGCAAACTGCGTGATGTAAGAGAAGCGCTCAGATTACTGAGGTGAGAATAACTTCACTGCTCAGTTGTATTAACCTGTTCCATCTATTACACTTAGGTTTACAAAAAAAAAAAATCAACCAAAACAATCTTCATGCATTACAGAAAAAACTTTAAAGGATGAGATTCTAGCAATTAACCTGAGAACAGGATTACTCTTACAAACACAGCTGAAGTGGCATTAATACTGATTCAATTTCCATCACCATAAGAAAAGTGGTGCTGGAAAGAGAGCTATCCAAACCCTCCCAGAACAACCTCCATATCAGCTGGCAGCAGTTAAAGGAAAACACTTTCAAAATGGGAAAAAATTGCACAGCTAATTGTAAAGGCACACAAGTAATATTTGAATAGAGATATTAAATCTACTCTTATCACACAGGAAAAGCAACTATATAATTCAGAGCTGTGTCAAATCAAAGCATTACAAAACCAGAGTGGCTCTGCTCTGGTTTTGAGAGTTGCTATGCTGAGGGCAAATTCAGGGAAGAACTGAGGTGTTGAATATATATGGACTCAAACTCTCAAGCTCATGTTAAAAACACCATGAAAGCAGAACAACGAAGACCCAGAAATAACTGCTCACAAGCCATGATGGAGACAAAGATATTATTTTAAAGTTATTTCATGGGTTGTTTTGAAAATAATCCACTGGAAGCAGACAAAAGCTTTGAATGAAAAGCTGTGCTGGCCCAAGATAGTCTTTCGAATACTTTTACAGACATCACCAACTCACTGTGTCTCCACTACAAAGATACCAAAGTTAACTTCCTAGTATCCCTTCAGTAACACATGTCTACCACTGAAAAACGTCCCCAACAACCCTGGTCAATGTCACTTCATCAGCAAAGCATCACCCAGTAACTCCTGTGGAGCAAAGTCCACCACTCCATAGACCAAGGATGTGGGTTCACCGACTGTAGGCTGTGGAGAACGAGGAATTCCCACACTGTGGCTCTGGTAACATTTGGGCAGCCTCCTGAAAGGAAAGCTGCTGACAGCACGGACTAGCAAGCAAACTCACTCACACCTCTTTTATCTTCTGAAAAGTAGGAAATTTTTTCCTCCTACACTCAACTTGCTTCTTTTCTACCTAAAAATTCATCATTTCACTTCCAAACCTTAGGACAGCATTCACTTCTGAAGACTTTCAAAGTTAAGCTAAGAGACATCTTAGCTTAAAGAGAGTTTTAAATGTCTTTATTGAATAGTTAGGAAACAGCAACCAGTGACAACCAAGTGAACAGCTCTTGCATGAACTGGGAACACACTGCTACACCTATGTGGGGACTGTCAGCAAGAACCAGGCAAGAAATCTCAGTCCAGCCTGAGAGCACCAAACCTGCACCTTAGCCACAGTTCAGTCTGAAACCACAACCTGCAAGCAACAGCTTCAAGCCTACTGCTAAGGGTTTATTTTTAGTTTTTCAAGTAGGATGCAAGTATGATCACTTAAAAGTTATAATTTCTCACATGATCACTGTAACATTGTAAAATATTACCACAGGCAACAAAGTCAAAATCCCTAGGAAACTCAGTGGATAAACTGAGATTCTACAACACAGTTTATTCTTTGATTTGAAACTGCATTTGGATGTTGTATTTTAAAAGCTGAGGAAAGGCACAGTTAGAAAATGATGTAACAACATAGACTTTAAGTATTTTAATAATTTTTTGACAGCAACTCATTTTTGAGACAGCAGAGTTTACCTGTGAAGACAGGACTACAACTGCACCCTGAGGCAGAGGTTTAGGCAGCCCTGGCTGACAAAGCCCAGCTGTCAGAGCACATCCTTGCTGCAAGGCTGCTGCACCATTCACTGGCTTATGAACAAAACCCTTAAAAGCAAGAACTTCTGAAAATATAACAGTACTTCAAACAAGTATTGCCAGGTCGATACACCATGGCAGACGGCTGCCCAGGGAGGCTGCAGGGCATCTGTGGGTTATGAGGTTACTTAACGCACCTCACCATCGCAGACCTATTGAGGCATTGCTGTTCGGGACCTGCGCGCACCGTGACAGCCTCAGGGACCGGCCGCTGCCCCCGCGGCCCGAGCAGCCCCAGGGCTGTGCCGGGGGGAAAACAAGAGGGAGGGGGTATAAGGGATAGGAGGGAAGGGAGGGGAGCGCTCGCCCCCAGCCCCGTCGCGGTGCGCTGCCCGCGGCCCCGCGCAGGCCGCAGCTTGTCGGGGCGCGCAGGGACCCCCGGCCAGG